AGGACCTGGTCCTGCACTACAAGCACACGCCCCTGGTGCAGCACAATGACTCCCTGAACGTCACCCTGGCTCACCCAGTCCTTTCCCAGCCGCCAGCCAGATGAGCAGCCCGTGCACGACACAACAGCTGCCTTCAGCTTCTCCCCAGGGCGCTGCTTTCTGGCTCTGGACTCTCGCACCCTGTATAGTTGAGTCTCTGTGCTCCTGCCCCTCCAGAGCCTCTGAGATGTCTGTGACCGTTCCTGGTGCCCCATGTTGGTCAGTAGCTGAAACCCGTGTTGGCTGATGGGACAAAAAAGCTGGGCTGTTGACTCCCAGTGGGCTCCAGCGTTTAGGAGGTGGGATCCAGTTGTGTTTGAATTGCTGTGGGTGAGCACAGCCCCCTTCCCCTTCCCCCGTGAGCAGGCGAGATCTCCTCCTTGCAGGCAGGTTGCCCCGCTACGCGTCACTGTAGAGCTAGGTTCCCAATTCCTCAGTGCACTACGGAGCGGGTGACCCCCGCCGGCCGCCTGCCCTGCTCCGAGCGAGGGGCTCCCTGCCCGGCTGCGGAGGACGGCCGAGGAGGCAGCGCCGAGCGGTTGAGCACGTGCGTCCTCCGCTCTCACTTCCTCCGGCGATCTCGCAGGCTGCGGAGGGAGCTGGGGTTTGGTACGAGGGGTGCTGCTCTTCCGTGCAAAGACTCGTTTAGGGAAGGAGGAGACGCGACCCTGCACGGGGCAGAGGGCGGGCTGGGGACCAGCGCTGCTCGGCCGCTCTGGGCCGTGCCCCCCTTCACTGTCTGTTCCTTAGTTTCATAACCACCTCTTGAGTGTTGTTGTCTGGGGAGGGAGGATCCAGTTAGCGATGAATCTCTCGCCTTGGTTGTGCCAACTAAGCTGTGAAATCCGTGTTGGTACCCGTGTTTTTCCTGGCAGAATCTGTGGGACGCACAGCTCTCTGTTTCTGTTGTCTTCGGTGAATCTCCGCAAACGTAACCCGTTGAAGCTAACTGTAGCCATGTAAATACGGTTCTTTTGTAATCAGCTGCTTACCTAGTACTGGTGTATGCTGAACTTCCATTACGATATGCAAGCGCCTGGGCGACAGCCGACCGGACTGTTAACCGACTCGGGTCCCGGGCCCTGCCGCGGCCGGCGCAGGAGGTGGCTGGAGTCCGACGCACACTACGAGCCCGATGCTAAATGAAGGACCTCTCTGCTGCCGGAGGGTGGTATCTCCGCTGGGCCTAGGGCCTTAGCACATAGCAATGTATATGCATGATGTCGAACTATGTATGCAAAGCACTTATAATCATGAGTACTGTATGGGGTGGGCACGGGGCTGGACTGGGGAAGAGCGAGCTGGGGTTTGCTGTAACGCTGCTCGCCGTAGCTAGCCGGCGCGGACAGGGCTTCTTGGGTCTTTTCAAATAGCGCAGAGCTTGGAGGGCCGCGGGCGGCCGCGGCGGAGGCACCGCGCGGCCCTAGCAGGGAAGGCAGCGCTGCCCGGAGCGCCTG